ATGTATAAATGGTGTTGCGCCTTCCCGCCTATGTAATGATATAGAAATGGTTGTTGACCGACATGGATATTCTACGAGATACGCTCACTCGCTTAATGTTATCCCCCCAATTCCAAATTGCTCTGTAGTGAATGGCTCTTTAAAAATCTCTGGAGCAAAGGTTTGGAACAAAATCCCAATCAGAATTCAAGAATGTCAATCTCTTAATTTATTCAAAATTACTTATAAGAAACACTTTTTCTGATTTCACAATTCATTTCCTTTTATATTTTCTTGGTCTATACTTTTAACATTTATTCCCGCCCAGAAACTTGGACTCAGAAGTACCGGGATGGTGTCCGGCGGGGGATAGTTTTTACCATTGTTTAGTTAGGTTTATAGTTAAGATAAAAGTTGTGCAGCCCCGAAACCTTGACTCGGAAATACCGGGATGGTGTCCGGCGGGGGATAGTTTCTACCATTTTTATCTATTTAAGTAATTGTACAGTATTTGTCCTACCTGGTAATCCTGACCCCGAAACCTTGACTCAGAAATACCGCGTCGGTGTCCGGCGGGGGATAGTTTTTACCATATTGTATTTAAGTTGTATTTAAGCATAAACTTGAGCTGTAATTCCTGGCCCCGAAACCTTGACTCAGAAGTACCGGGTTGGTGTCCGGCGGGGGATAGTTTTCCACCAAAGTTTTAACTGTTGCTTATTTTGTTGTACTGTGCTGGTTACTTTTGTTGTTGTTATTGTAATATGTGTTTGCAGGACCATATTGTAAAACAGCGGTAAGATCTCGCCTGTATATGTTATCCTGCCTAAAGATGTTAAAAAAAAATATACCATTGCTATCAGTGGGCTAGTTTTTTTTTACCTTACAAAGTAGGTCAACACTAGTTTGGAGTGTAATCCAGGTATTATAATATTCGGCATGTGCAGGATAAAATATGTAGGCCTATATGTTTATGGCTAATATGAGAAGTTTATATTCGACGTGTGTTTGAAGATATTTTCAGCGGAAAAAAATCTAAGCAATGTTATTAGGTTATTAAGGCAGTCAGTAAATAATCTCCAAATAATTACATTATCATACAAAAGATAATTTTTTTTAAAATAATGACTACAGATGAGAAAACCGTACATACAACAAAATATATTTTCTATGGTTTTCGTGAACGCTGTAGATTAAAAATAAAATAAATTAATATTAATACTTAAATGAAGATATATTACTCAGTTAACAACAGTTAACGCCGTGTATAATCCGTCTGTAGATAACATTTTCTTTATTCCATGAAAATAACAATGACAAGATATTCTTCTGAATATATCTGTAATTACTGAAATAAAGCTGGCACCATTCAGATCAGATCAGATCATCGTATGAAACAAGTATTCATTTATGTAGATTGCAGTGATGGAGGTACTGTATTTAGTTACTGGGAAATTGATGAGCGATATTTGCATTTTATACATGCAAAAATCCAGAAAATCAAAGAATTGGTGTCTTATATTTAAAAAAAAATCAGGATTGATGAAAACTGCAATACTGTAAATACATATGAAAAAAATGTTACATAACTATTTAGGTGTGAAAAAAACACACAAGATAATATAGGAGCAAGCCTCAATTTTACGTTTCAGACAAATGAAAAAAAGATCAGTGTGCTTAAAAAGATTCTACTGTATTTCATTTAACAAATGTAGTATTAGTTGTTTATCATAGAGAGAAGTGGTTAATTTAAAGTGATGTTTCATTTTGAACAATGTTCCAGTATGCGATAATTTCAGTAGAAAGTTACAACTTGTTTCAAGAGACATAAGATGCTGTACGTACAATGGCGGTTTGGGTGTAAAAAAAATAAACAAGATTGTTAGTGATAGTTTTTTTTTGTGTAAACAATGGATGAAATGAATAAAACAAAATGCTCTTAACGTAAAGATTTATTAGGCTACAATTTTACTGTTGTGTATTTGTTGTATTTGAACTTTTATTCAACTATTAAATATGGGAGCCAAATGGATGATTTGAATGACATTTTTTAAATGCAGAACAGTCAAACTAAATTCTTAAAATGAAATTCAATATCAAATGTATTCAAAATCAATATGTATAAGATAAGGACCGTTAAACTTGTAAAATACGACATAAAACACACACATACGAGTTTGTGTACACAAAATAAGTATCGGTTTCAAACTGTATTTAAGGCGCATGTAACTACATATATTAATGTTCGTTACTATTAGCACAATACCAAATAATCAAAGATCAATATATCATCATATAAATTACATAGCTGTCTGAAGCATTTGCAAGTGGTCCGGCCATTAGTAAGAGCGAGTTGGGTGAGGGGTGTGGGGGTGATGAGTGTGAGTGTTAAATTGACCCGCTACCCTGGATACGGATACTGGATTTAAAAGTTAGTGGGATCTGAGGGCATCCACCCTAGCCTCCACCAAATTTGGGGCTGAGATGCAGATATTTTGGAAATATGAAACCTGGGTTGAGTCTACCCCTCCCCATCATGTTGTACATTGGCAAACACAAGATTTAAAAAGCTAGTAGGGGCTATATTTCATACCCACCTCCGCCCCACCATGGTTGGGGCTCAAGTATTTTTTTTTTTAATATGGCACCTATAAACAGCGGCGTAACCACGTTACGTGGAGCCCTGGTTCGATAGAAAGCCTAACAATCGGGGCCCTTGGCGCATATAAATTGGCCTATCAGCTGGCTAACATAATTGTATAGAGTTAAAAAAATTACTATTTTACTGAACTGATCCATAGTAAAATCATTCTCCGCTGAACACCATCCCTATGTTTCGGAGTCTAGAATTCGGGGCCAGAAAACTGTTTATAAAAGAGGATTATTTACAATTTATATCTGTTTTACAGAAGTAACATAGTACCCTGTCAGATAATATTCTCGTATTTCTGACTCCAGGTTTCGGGGCTGGATTGATTAATAATTGTAGCATTATATCGTACTTTTACAAAATTTAAGTTTCGTGGCCTGAATATAGGATGGGAGTAATAGTGCCCGTACATACTGTAGGCCTAAATAAATAAATACCGGTACACACACACACACACACATATATATATATATCATATATATATATATATATATATATATATATACATATATATAATATATAATATATATATATATATATGCATATTTTAAAACATTATCTTTCAATCCATTTTATTCATAAAACAAACTCAACGATTTGTCTTTTTAGCATACTATGGAGCCTGAGCCTGAACCAGATCCTGAAGCACAGCTCACATCTGTAAATGCCTCGTCATTTGTGGAGCCTTACCCAGAGCCCGAATTTAGCCATAGCGTTCAATCGATTCTTGTTGTTGTTGCAGTCATCTTCATGCTAATTGGCACACTTGGGAATGCTTTAGTTATCCTGACGTTAGTTCGTATGAAAAGTAAGTTCAGTAAGCCTATCAAAACATTCTATATTGTTGAGTTAATATAAAAGAAAACAGGCTGTATTTAACGAGAATATTTTATTGTTAACAAGGATAACACCGCGAGCAAAATGTATAATTATATATTAGTGTAGTGATTAAAACCACCAATTTTGTTGGCTGAAATTGCAATATAATGCATGATTCTGCTATATTCACAGAAGATTGCTTTCTTCTTCACTTTTGTATCTTTATTCTTATTATCCTCCGTAGATTATATCTAATAATAATGCCAACCTGTAACACCGTGAGCAAAATGTGTAATTATTAGTGTAGTAAGGAAAACCACAATTTAATTTTGTTGGCTGAATTGCAGTATAGTTCATGATATGCTGCATTCATTTATTATTCTTCATAGATAAGATCTCTTAAGTCAACCTATAGATAATATCTCATTTTGTCATGTATTGGACATCTCGATTCCGCATTTGCTTTATTAAATAACATGATATACAACAACGTCATATTCTTACTCTTTTTATTCTCTCCTTCCTCCTTTTCCCTTCTCCTTCCTCGCCTCTTCCACTCCCTCTCCTTTTCCTCTTATTCTCTCTTTCTTTATCTATATCCCTCTTTATATCCCTCCCCATAACCCTCTCACTCTGTTTTATTGTAAATAGTACATTTGCTTACCAAAAGCAGGACCGCAAAATACTTGTACAGTATAATAATACGTGAAGGCCACTTGTCAAGCTTAAATAAATTTAACAGATATAACACGTCCTTGGGTTACAATATCTTTTTCCCTACCAAAATACATGAAGGGATGGGTGGGGTGGGGGTGGTAATGATTAAAATAACCTCATTCAAACATTGCTCCCCTACCAACAACCATTTACCAAAAAGCAGAATGGGCTCCTGATCCTTAATGTTATACCTTTTTAATCTGTCCATGGAGGTATACCTACATGTCTGCAATATAAATATAACAAGAATTGACTAAATTATTAAAACTACTTATAAAGTAAAAGCCGAAAGCAAACAAAGCACTTGATACCTCAGTCTTTATTTGGCAAATTACGTGTAATGCAACCAGTCTTTTATTGTAAACTCCCTACCGCATTCACTTGTATTTCAGGGTAATTTGTAGTAGTGTTTCTTGTGTATTCATAACACATCTTTCACTTGCATATTCTTTATTTCACAATATCTTGCAACTCGTTTATGTAAATATATATATCGTCATTGTTAATCATATTGTACTCTATTTTTATTCGTGTTTCTATTAACTTAAGTATCTTGTTCTGTATATATTTATGGACATCTTAATCCATCTAGGGCATTGATAAGATATCTTGAAAACTTGTAAAATGGATTATGGATTACTGTATAATTGGCCTCATACAGTCATTAAACCGCGTTGTAAAGCTCTTAAAGTTATTGCAAATTCAGTTATAGACATGCACCGCTACTGCAAAAAAAAAAAAAATACATGTGGTAAATAAATGTCATTTTGCGCATGTCGGTTTTTCATGAAAATGCTAGTGTGTGTATATATCTGTCTCTTATACACATCTAGATGTGTATAAGAGAAGTATCATGTGGTTACCACGAAAACCAGGATGCCTTTGAAAAACTGTCTAGTTATTGGATATTTCATCTTTACAAGGACTTCGATACTATTGATCACCAAATTCTCTTATCAAAACTATTTCATTATAGCATTTGTGAACCTGCCTTAAATCTTTTTAAAGTGTACTTATCAAATAGAGTTCAGTGTACCAAATAGGCCTACCTAAATTCAATTTCTACCTTTAGTCCAATCACTTGCGGGGTTCCACAAGTTTCTTTACTTGGCCCCCGTTTATTTATTCTATAGCTTATATAACTGATTTACGCTTGTCTTCTAAAATCCTCTCGTTTTTTCTTTATGGTGATGGTACAACTTGTTTCTATTCTAATAAAAAATATTAATAAATAATATTAATAATTATAATAATAATAATAATAATTTTTTATTCGATACAGTTAATTCTAATTTAATTTTTATGTCTCTGTACTTCTCTGCTAATAAATTATCTGTTACCCATAAAAATGTAGAGTCCACAAAAAAACAAATTTATTGATACTTCCCAATATAATATAGGTCTATTTATTGATATTTACAAATTATTTTTCTACCACAATACATTGTATCATTTACATAATTTAAAATACGATTTGTTCGTCATTTTGAGTCATGGTACTAATTGTAGTGTCCAGATACAACATTTTTAACATGTGCTTTTCTGGACCCACTCTATAACATTTAGTCATAAGGCCTAGGTGCATCTCTTCTGTGAATAGACCTTTAATTGTTTTACTTCAGTAAAAGAATTATATTTGTTAATTTACATTAATTAGCCTGGTCGGGCAATTATATGTGCCAAGTGCTTCAAGAATACCTTATGCCACTACTGAGCCTGATGAAAACAACTAACTGTTGTTATCAAGTTTGTCGAAATTGACAATACATGTGTACTAGCAATTGCCAACATCTCTCCTCTGAGAGCAAATTTATATTTTTATGAAACGCGAAGCGTATAAAGTGCTCTGATTGACTAATAAGATAACATCATTACGCGAGTCTATATCAAGAAGTACGTTACTACAATCAAGCAAGCAAGGACGAATAAGCCTGATAAGGAGCCCAGATAACACTGACTCTGGGTTTTCGCTGCTTCGATTTTGATTAACTACTGGCCTATCATAAAATTGCTCACAACATTTTAAATAGATTGCAGAAATATGATTGTGGAGAGTAACTTTTGCCAAATAAAGTAACAATCTTAATCTTGCGCTAGTACAAACATGCGCTAATAAAAATTGTATAATTGCAAACACAACTACCACAATATATGTCTCTCTCTATCCCCCCTCCCCCCTCACTCTCTCTCTCTTGATATATAATTAACACTGTCCATGAAATTAAATAATTAGGAATAACCTTCTCCCATGATCTTAAAAGGACATGCACAAATATTGATTTCTTATCTTTAGAAAATCTTTAGCGTTAAACTTCGCCGCAACTACCTTAACATGTTATTGTTTATGCTAATTATTTTTATTAGCTGTATATTAAATAATTAAATGCGTTCTTCAGGATAGCTTAATATATTAATGTTAAAACAAACAAATAAAAGCGTCCTTCGCCCCGAAAGTAATATTCTACAAATCTTAGTCAGCACTCAAATTCTTTGGACTCATATTGTAATTATTATTACTTTTATAGTAATTACAAGCCTATAGCATTTTTAGCCTGTTTGTAGCAAAATTCACCCACGATTTCGATACTGGGATGCCGAATGAACGGGAGGCCTAAATCCCTGTGACATACTGTTCCTGCTCAGATAGGCCTATTGATGTTTTTTTTTTTTCAAATCCTCTATGCAAAATTAACCAGCGTTTCTTTGACGTTCTTCTGTATTTTATTTTTCGTTCATAATAAAAAAAAATCGATTATTTTTGCTACTAATTTTGAATAATTCAAAAGTCTTCTTGCATGGTTATATTCTCCAAATGAATTTGTATATTTTCATTCAAATGGATTAGGCCTATTGATAACCGTATAATTGGTCTCATGCAGTAATTAACCGCGTTGTAAGTATCAAAGCAAAAAGTTTCATAATGTGGTTACACCAGGAAAACCTGGTTATTTTCAGGATGCCTTTGAAAATGACCGTTTTAGCTATTGGAATTTTTATTGATCTCTCCAAGGCCTTCGATACAACTGATCACCAAATTTTCTTATAAAAACTATTTCATTATAGGATTCGTGGTCCTGCCTTAAATCATTTTAAAAGTTACTTATCTAATATAATTTAGTGTACCAAATACCTTAATTCAATTTCTACGTTTAATCCAACACTTGCGGGGTTCCACAAGGTTTTTTACTTGGCCCCCTTTATATCAGTGATTCACACTTGTCTTCTAAAATCCTCTCGCTTTTTTTTCTTTATGGTGATGATACAACTTGTTTCTATTCTTAAAAAAATATAAATTCTTTATTCGATATCTGTTAATTCTAATTTAATTTTTATGTCTCAGTACTTGTCTGCTAATAAATGATCAGTTACCATAAAAAATGTAGACTCATTCTATTTGGGAGTCCACAACCCCCCCCCCCCCAATTTATTGATAGTTCCTAATAAACTATTTATTGGCAATTACGAATTACCCTGTGTTCAAATTGCAAAATTCTTGGGTGTATATTTAGACATTGGGTTGACATGGAAAAAATATATTAATGAAATTGAAAATAAATGCTCTGTATAATTTTTAGACTTTCTTCGTTTTTCCCCCTTGATGTCCTTCGTATTATGTATTGCTCTCTAATCCTTCCTCATTTGAGCTACTGCAAAATTGTTTGGTACAATACCTATCCATCTATTATTTAAAAAACTCCAAATTCGCGGTCAGAATTATATCTGGCTTTCCTCCATTGTCTCACTCTTCCCCTTTATTATTTTTTAAAAATTTAACCCTTCTTAACTGCCTGATATTAATTCTCTTCAACAGAGTACATTTTTGTACTCATCCATTCAATCTATTCTTCCAAATAATAATTTGCAATATTTTTAGACCTAATTCTTATCTATATAACTGCAGTACAAGGTCTATGTCTGAAATCCATATCCCCATCCATAGAACAAATTATTTCCAACATAACATTAGATATTCTGAATCCAAACTTTGAAATACCTTGCCTGATTCAATCGTTAACTCCGCTTCTAAGAAATATTTTTCCAATAAACTTAAAAAGCACTTTATTTCAAATTACTAAAATATAGTCTTTGAATCCCTTCTTTTCGATTATTCTCACAGCGGTCTTACTTTTTTCTTGATTTCCCGTGATGTTCTTTTGTTGGCTTCCTTGTTTGTTTTTCATTCCCGTTTTGTCCCTGTATCTTCTTTCGTCTATCTTCTTCGTCCTGCTTTGTTTCTTGTCTTCTTTTTCTGTTTAATTTTGTTTTGTTTGTTTTAAGGCTGGCCCAGCACAAGATTTGCTTACCTTCTTGGGCGTCTGCCTTCTTCCTTTTTATGCTGTATTCTTTTTACTATCTCGATGAGCTTTAGCTTTTTGTATATTGCTACAAAGGAAGTTAATAAATGTTATTTTGAATTGAAAACTCCCCCTTCCTCATCTAAACGATATATAGACCTACGTCCTCATAGTGGCATATAGTTTTACATTTACATACATTTTTTATAACCTCAAAAGAGCCGAGGTTATAAACGACACAATAAAAAAAACTTGCTATCAGTACAGGTCTCACCACGAAATGAGACGCATCGTTGGTGAAATCATATTGAGATATTCACCAAAACATGCCAAAATCAACATTTTTACAAAATTTTGATTTTAATGTTTTTGAATAACTTGATACTTATATTTTATGATTGTATACTTTGTAAGTGAATTTTCTTGCCAAAACAGTGTTCTCTGCACATATTCTGTAATTCTAGCTATATTATTTGTACAGGTTAGTTTATCTTTGAGGTCGATTTTATCAAAACGTGGTTCTTATACACCTTAACTTTAAATGCTCACATCTCTAGATTTACTTATAGTAGGGAAGCCATTCAAAGCCAAAATGAAAGCTTATAAAATGTGATCTACCCAAATATAATATAAACTCAATTTTTGAATTTCTAACCATGAGACTGAGCGAGACCTCACAATGTGTCTGTGTAAAATTTGCATTTCGAGATTCACCATTGGTGAGAAAAGGTGATATAATCTTAGCTATAGTACATAACGTGAAGCGAATTTCAAGAATACGATATGCAATGGTGAGGATATGGCGAAAGTTCATATTCATACAAATAGTATAATAATAGTAGTCACTAGTTCTCGATCCAGTCATTATCTGTGCATTTTAGTCAATGAATGAGACCAGCAATCGGCAGCGCAAACCAAGCTAATGAATCAAACAGATCCATTTCAAACTTCAGCATTAAAAGAGAAAGAAGATGATGGCTGACCGTGCAGGACAACCTTAAGGAGTCTGTTGAAAAGAAAGTTGCGAGTAAAGAAAAATGCGGTAATGTCATACCATTGCATCTTGTGAAGTAAGCTTTGGTGCTTGTCGATTATTTTGCTGTCTTTCTCAAACAAACGTAAGCCAGAGATAACTCCGTCATTTAGCCGCCTTTAATGAAGAAAATTGACAGGTATTTAAATTACAAAGTGATTAATCGTTCTGCACAAACTCAGCATATGAAATTGGTGTTCTTAAAAGAAGCTTGATGAAATTGTAAGTACTACACCTCACTCACAGTATGATAAATATGTTGTTATTGCTTCCGGCCAATTTCGGAAAGTTTAATGTAATTGCAACAGTGACATATAGTCAAAATATAATATATAATAAACAAAATTAATTTACATTTTGAAAAAGTAGGTTAATGCCGTTTTGTATCGATCAGCCAGATCATATAATTTATACCCTTTCATTTCTCTATAAATTCTGGCTACAGGTCTACCTTTCTATATATCAAGATTAATTCCTGTTTATTGATGATGAAGACATATGAATTCTTAGGCCATTTTTGCAACGAAACAATCGAATTTAATCGGCTCATATTCACTTCAGCGAAGTGACTTTCAGAAGCCTTTGTTATCGTTTAGACTCGCTCATTTTATAAGGGGTAATTAATAGGCCTACTTTTGGTTTTTATGCATTGTTTGATTCTTAAGTATTATTATTAACAGTAGTACTGTACTAGTTTTACAATTTTACAATTTAGGCTATAATGGTCATTCATATTTTACGACGCACTTTTCCTAGCCAACCTGAATCCGGCTATCCCAGACCTGCTCAATTATGGTACGTTCCTACTTCTTACCAGCTGGCAGAGAAACCTACAACCGTACCTTTTATGTCCTTGTGTGCCTTTAAATTTACATTATAAGTCAAACAAACACTCGGTAAATGTTGACAACATATTACTTAATGAGTATGTAGAAGGTGGAAATAAAATACCTAAAGGAAATTGGCCAATTTAAGGCAAAACATACAACAACAGTACAACGCAGATTCATTAACAATGGCGGAAGGCTATACCAAAGCTTCGAATTTTCGCGGGCATAATGCCTAGACAGGATTGTTCATTCGTATTAAAATTGGTGTTTTGACGGTAAATTTCTTCATCCAATGGGAATATATTTTATATTAAAGAATCTATGAATATTCAGCTCTCACTTTACCGGGGGAACAACAAGATATTTGATTGGTAAACAGACGAAGTGGCAATTTAAAGCCAACAGAGTCGCTAAAAAGAGGAAAAAATGCAGCCTCTCCGCGGTGTGCGGTCACCATAGCACCAATCGAAAAAAAAAAATGACGATGACTTATTTCAAGCAATACAATTGAAACAAATACTAAAGCAATCAGAAAAGGATTTCCTTTCAAATACCGAAGGGAACACAAAAATCCGACAAGTATTTGCTGAGATACGACTATGGAAAGACGAAAAATGACCCAAAAACACAGCTTATGTCGGTGCGAAATACAGCATGAAACACTAATTTGCTAGGCTATTCTCGCTCTTTAAACGAAAATGTTGCAAGAAGAATCCCCATGTTATAAATCTTGAATGAACTATATGTTGGTATATATTTATTTGTTAATACAAAGCAGTTTTTGATAATTTTCTACAATAAATACCGGTATCTACTCTTTTACTTAATTCTGGTTTTTAGTCATTTTGATAACGGGGAAATATAAAATTTTGAATAAACTATGTTGGCATATATTAACACTTTTTTGATCAAATTTGCCACAATAAATACCTACTTTGCTTTTATTTTTCTACATTTTTATTATTATTTATTTTATTTTAATTTATTCGTACTAACCAACAGCGATTACAACCGCCACTAACAGGTAATAGTTATGTTGTGCACAACATTTTTACATCGAACATTATTTACATTATTTTATAAAACAGACTATATATATATATATATATATATATATATATATATATATCGGTTTTAAAATTGTAGTTAAATTATTGCTTGTTAATTATTCATATCTGCGCCCTTCAGAACACATAATCTCAGAAGCCAAGTACCTGCAAATATTGTCATATATTATACATATATTATATTTTGTATTTTGATTGATATTTCAAATATGAATATCATTTGTTTGTTTACTTTACTAGATCGAACTATCACAGAGGTATTTCTCACGTCTCTTGCATTTGCGGATCTTTTTGTCTGTGTCGTCTGCATTCCTCTTCTGATCGTCGGCATAACCGTGCACAGTGGCCACACAGGATTTTCTTACATCGTGGAGCAACAAGTCTTCTACTCATCATCAGTAGCGTCCATTTTGAATCTTACAGCTGTAGCTGTCGACCGCCATGACGTTATCATTAATCCGATGAATCGAAGAATAACTACAACGCGCTGCAAGTATGTTCTGGTTGCCGTTTGGGGGATTTCCCTTTCAGCTGCCATAATTATATACTTCATACCGGCACAATACGAGTGTATTCTTCTTGCTGTGTTTCTATTTTTACCGTTGTACATTATGATACACTGCTATGTCAAGGTTCTGAAGAAGGCGAAGGCAGCCTCCGAAAAATTAACCCAAAACAAAAAGGGAGATGCAGCGCAGAAAGGTGGCAGTGTTGATAAAACTGTTCGAATGGTCGTCATCATTGTAGTTATGTTCTGTGTCAGTTGGATTCCATCGTTGATTACGCGTACTTTGAAGTATACAATTCATATGGAGGAAATGCATTTGTCCATACTGGAAATCACGTCATGTTTGGTGGCGTATGGCGGAAGTGCGATCAATTTCCTAGTGTACGCGTTCATGAGTAGAAGGTTCAAGTACGCATTGATGCAGGTAATGATAAAAAATACAAACATCTGTTCAATTATGTATGTACGTAGGCCTAATAATAATATAATTGTAGTATTTAAATATCACAGAAAAAAACTTTAATTACAATTATAAATTTTAAGTTTTGAATATATCATACATCTTGAACTTTATTCATTCATTGTTTAAAGCCTTGCTTAATTAAAATCTCATTTTGTTCTGAATATGTATATGGTAATAATAATAATGTTATATTTATATAGCGCATATTGCACATTGCCCCATATGCTCTTTATGGTAGGTGAATCCCATTAGGATTAGGAGTTTATTTTCTTTATAGCCTGCCATCTCTACCTAAGAGTAAAACAGAATAATAAATAATAATTGACTTCTTTTTAATATTGTCTGTTACTTTATATGGCCCATTTAACAGATATTCACCCGTCCTTTCCAATTCTGCACCTCTCACATTTAGCCTACTTACGTGTTCTTTTCATGGCGTCTGTGTTTCGGTACGTAAAGCTGTACTCCACTGTTCTCTTTATTAGTTTCTTCTTTAGTTTTATAAATTTTAACAACATCTTTTGTGGTCAAACATAATGCTTCCCAGATAGGCCTATTTTTGAAACTTATTCAATTGAATGTTTAAAATTCACAGATGCTTGGAGTGAAAACATACTGTAACAAAGTTATGCCATCAACGAAATCAGCAGCAACCAATTTCTAAATCAACTACATTTGTTGAGGATCCGATTTGGTGACATCTTTGCTTATAGTTTAAACTTATCCATTTGACGAAGGCTTATATTTTCATTTCGACGACGATGCTTAAACTTAACAGAAATAGAGTTTGTGAATTAAAAAAAAGTAGTCTTGCAGAATATGCATGGATGAAAGTAAAAATATCTTTACATCCATGCTTATAACAGTATTTGAACCGCGATCATCCAGGGTTGGCGGTGGGACCATGTAAGACTTATACTGAACACGACCAACGACTGCGTAACTGATTTTGCTCTTGTTATCACCTCTGCATACAGCGCGTATTCAGTTCTTTCTACGATTTGCTTATATATTTTTGGATTTAGGTAGATCGGCTTAATTAATTAGACAATCTGCTAGTGCTTTTGGAGGTCAATTTTTCAATAGACCTAGGAAACTAGTATAATAACACGGTGTTGTATGAGTGGGAAGAGGTGGCAATGTATATTGTTGAATGTTATGGGAAATCAAGTAGGAAGTGGATTTTATTGTTATGGTTAGCATGTTACTATTTTTGTAGATACTGTCTTTGTAGATAAGTGTCTTTGCTGGATAGTCCTTGTGATGAAAGGGCGGATTGAGATTTTTTTCTAACGGGATGTTGTGGAGATCTTATACACATCTAGATGTGTATCACACAACAGTTTTAGAATGGATAAGTGAGTAGCACATATCATAATATGCATTAAAATTTCAAAGTTTTAGTGACAAAACGGGAAGGCATGTGCCCACTGGCTCTGCCCCTGCTGATCTGTCCACAACACCACTTACTGGATCCGCCCTATTAATCCCACGTGTTTATGTAAATTCGAGGTGTTGATTGGTGGAGGTGGCTCAATCCTAAATTTCCACTACCCAACCCCCCACTTAACTTAATCTTCAGTGTCGCTATGTTGATGTCATGCACTATCGCATTGCGGAACCGTATTGACCAGATCCAAATCGACCCGGATTCGAGAGAGGGGCCTACGGACGCTGTACTGTCACTGCTAGGTACGCCTAGGTTTACGGTAGGGCTAGGCTAGACCCAGCCAAAATTATTAGGCCTTGGCCTAGCTTGTAATATCATGCCTAATTGTGCCCAGGCGTACGTTTATGTTTACCTGATAGATTTCTAAAACATACCATTTATTGCTGATTTGAGGTACAAGACCACAGTAATATATTCAGTATACAATGTACAATGGAACCTCCATGTTCGTGTCGTAAACAGTCATGAACATGGTGCTCATATTTTTGTGGACGTGAGGCATGCGCGGTGACGTAATGAAGCTGCGAAACATAGACTGTTTCTTTCACGGCCTGACGCGATAATTTTCAGATCTGAGCACTGTGGTACAGATTAACCCTATGCTGTCAGCTCGTCAGTCAACCAGAGCGCCAGCTGAAAAAAATTACCTCTAATCCCCTAGCTGTGCCAGCTGATTATTTAACAAGGTCACTGTAATGCTTATTTTTGATAGTGTATATTATTTGCTCAATAATTCATATACTGTTGAGATTATGAAAATATAAATCTAAAAACAATTACTCAGCATTAGTTGTTTTGTACAAATATGCTCTTATTTCTGCATTTTATTTATCATTTAGTGAATAAATGATAGGAATATTTTGTCAATAGGCCTATCACAAATAGTATATTGGGCCTAGGCCTATCAGCAGAGTATGTGTTTCAAAGTCAAATTACTTGCTGATGAAAATCAAAATAACGAATCCTAGGCCTACGTATATTTACTAACACCAGTCCTTCAGTTTGTAGTCTATATATCAGAGGAATTGTATCACAACTACCACCAAATATGGGCAAGCGTGGTGGAACCAACGCCGATATTATGGCTATAATTAAGTTTCGGTGCCCCGGTCCTCTAACGGCTCGGCCAATAGTCTCACCAATTCAAAGAAACAATAAATGGTACGATGATATAAGACAGACACACGGCAGACTTCCTATGTTAACTTAACATCATCATTACCACAGGGGTGGCGCCAGAGGGGGGCTGGGGGAAACAGCCCCCGTCGGGGAAGCATAGCCCCCCCCCCGGGGAAGACGATACATTTTGTCGGGGAACAAACAAATAAAAAAAAATATTTACATGTAATATTACATTACACCATATCATTTGTGTTAACTTTTCATCACAACAACAACCACAATAATAATAATAATAATAATAATAATAATAATAATAATAATAATAATAATAATAATAATAATAATAATAATAATTCAATTAGACTAATTAAAAATAATTTGCGTTCTGCTATGACAAATGCCCATTTAGATAGCCTCATGGTGGTTGGAATACATCGTGATAGGTGAAGCAACCTCGACCATGACAACGTGGTTGACAGATTTCATGCAAAATTTCCAAAATATAGAATTTCACTTTCAAGAATGAGGATTTGAAAATAAATTAGATGGTTACATTGCATACTCTTTGTATCTTCTTTATTCAAAATGTTTTGGTTTTGGAAGCTGGTGTCAACATTAGAAAGTATAGCCTACATGAAGTCATATTATAGTAACTCGACTGTGAATCTTCATTTTGAATCTATTTTGGAAAAAAAATTCTACATATAGCAACTGATGGACTCAGCCATGATAATTTTAGTTGATTTTCCTTTGGAATGTGAACGACAGAACGACTGGCAAAATGCGATCACGTGGTGTTTTTTCACTGTTCCGAATAGATTCCACACGCCACAATGGTGTATACAAATGAGTGCCAAAAACATTCGAGATTTTCTCAAAATTGACAGCCACGACCATGGAGTACGTTTTATTCGTTGTTAACCATCAATTACCATCCTAAATGCAACCTCCTCCGCTCCCTGGGGAAGTATTCCTAGTCATGCACTACTAATTTCATTCCGAAATATTCACCTCCTACCAGGTGCCCATTTATACTCCTGGGTGAAGAGAGGCAAACGCAGATAAAGTGTCTTGCCCAAGGACACAAGCGGTGTGCAGTGTGACAAGCATCAGCCTCGAACCCCTGGCCTTTCGAT